AATCTCAGAGTCAAAGGGCGCTGTGAACCCAACCCCTCTCCCAATCTACCTCTAATGTCGCCGACGTGGTCACCTGGCTTGCATTCCCAGGGGCGGGAACGCCTAGATACCGCGTGGCAGCCCATTTCAGCACCTTCCCTCAGACAGGGTGGGTCTCTCTTATGGTGCTTGGACTCTTTGGACTGGTTTGACCCTTTGAGCCTAGTGCGTTGAGCTGCAGAAGCCAGAAATCACATCTCTCTGGAGCCTTCTCTTTCCTCATGTGACTCACATTCTAGATTTTTGACATCTGGGCTACCCACCACCGCATGAGCTCCTTATCTAGAATCTGATGCTCTGGACCCATATGTGTATTCATTCAGCAGGTTTCAGTATGTGTTGGCCAGTGGTCAAGAGAGCAAGTTCTGGGATCATAAACACTCCTGGGTTCGAGTCCTGGCTCTGCTCCTTAGCAAGTTACTCAACCTCTCTGAACTTCAATTTCTGAACTCCTCTGTGAAGATAAAAATAATAGCCACTTTACAGAGGATTAAGTGATGCAGTGCATGTAGAGGACCTCCCATAGCGCCCAGCATATGGTAAATGCTCAAAATTTTGGCAACCCCAGTGGACAGATGATTCGTACTGAATCTGTACTCAACTAAAAGCCAAGGGTCCTTGTCACACAAACTGTTAACGTTTATCCCTATTAAACTTCATTCTGTCAGTTCCAGGCCATTGTCTCATCCTGTCAACATTGATTTTGTCATCGTACATGAGTTGGCCCATACAGCTTGGAGTCATTGGCAGATCTGATAACGTGCCTTTTATATTTCCATTTGAGCTCTCTCTCCGGTCCGCTGCCATTATGTTACTCAAGATTCTTTGGGTTCAGCTGTTCAGCCAGCACTCAAGTTACCCAACTGTGTTATCATCCAGCCCACACTGGCTCCTTTGATTGAGAAAAATTTTTTTTCCCCTAGAAAATTTGAAGGTTCCAAAGAAAAAGTTAATTTGTATTCAACAGCTTCTGTTTAAAAGGCTACGGAAATGATAAAGCCTTCTAGAAAAGGCCTCAGTCAAAAAGTGGTCAATAGAAAGGTTGGGCACTTGGTGGAGTAAATTTCATTTATCTAGAACATTCCCTCTCGGGGGATTGTGTGAAGCCTCTGCAAGGCCAGCAAACGAGGCATTATCGCACGGGTCTTCAGTGTTTTCCAATTTGGTTTGTGCCTTCTCTCTGTTCGAATAGAAACTTCTCAAGGTCAGGAGCCATTTCTATCATTTTTCTATCTCTTTTCAGCAAGACTGAGAGACGGAAGTCTGAGTTTTGCACCCCACAAACTCTTAACACCTGCTGACCAATAAATCATCATCATGCAAGTTAACCATTTGTATGCCTACATCCAAGAGGACAGTAGGAAACTCAGAAGCATCAGGCGCGACATTCAAGAGGGCAGAAATTATGTGTTTCATTTTTGTCACCTTCAGGGTACCCGTAACATCCCACATCGCACATGGTAGACAGAGAACTCAGAAATAATTTTTCTGAATGTTGAGTGAATGACATGAGGGACAAAAGCCATGGTCCCAGAGTCATACTGATCCTATCCACATGCCTTCCTTCAGGTGAAGGGGACACTGTTGCCACACCAGCAAGAGACCTTGCAACTAAGAACCATTAACCGAGGGTCAGAGCAAGTATAGACCACACTGCATCCAGGCCATAGACACCACCAATCCTAGGGGCTGCGAATCTTCGTGGAGAGAGGACATGTCAATGGTAAGTTCATATCAGGTGTATCTGATGTACCATTTAAAGGATAAAGACATCACACAGGCTCCAAGGGCAAAAAGCTACACTTGGAGCTGAGGTCTTTGGAAAGGCTTCACTGTAGAGGGTGATTGGGCAGGGTTTTAAAGATGGAGGGAATTGGAGAGGACTGAGTCAAGGCAAGGGGCTAGGCAAGCACAAGTGGGCTTGGGGAGGGACAAGTAGGTGATTTGTCTGCAGAGGGGACTCCTGAAGATCCCCAGCCTGCCTCTTCCCGGGGAGCCAGGGCGCATGCTGGCGGAGGGGTGTGGCTGCTGGTTGTGGATTAGGTGTTTGGAATAGGTCTCTATCTGCAAAGTTAGGTGACTCACAAAGGGTCATAAGCCATGTCCCCCGCTTAGCGGCATTTTCCTCTGATCTGAGTTGAAAAAGCCAGCCCAACAGACTCTGTCTGGCTTAAGCCGCTTCCTGTAACCCAACTGTTAAATATCATCGCCAGCCATTGCCACTTTATCAGACAGATGGGGTAGGATCTTTCACCTCAAATGCTAAGACTTGCCCTGTGGCTCCCCCAGGGTTTTCCATCTCTAGCCCCAGCCATGACAATGCCTAATCCTTCGCCAGACAGTCTTGCTTTTCTCCTCACAAAGTCGAGTTATCCTTCAAACCACTGACTCAACAGCCTCATAGGTCTGGCCTGCCTGGCTGTGCCAAGGGGCGGGCCCTTGGACGACCGGTTGCCTAGCAACATCTTTGAGGCTTCCTGCTTCGGGCAGCCCTTGGAGAAATAGGGACACCATCTACTTCAAGGCTAAAGCAAGCTGTTGGCTTTGAGGCTGCTCGCCCTGAAATACAAAGATAGAAATCTTTTAATTAATAGTTAGCTCACTCTGAATGTTAAAGTTCAATTTTTTCTACAACGTCACTCTTTTCTCTGCCTTCTGTTTTCATTCCCTGACTCATTGGCTTTTGGCTTCTCCCTTTTATTATTATTTTTTTATTTATTTATTTTTTTAACGTTTATTATTTTTGGGATAGACAGAGAAAGAGCATGAACGCGGGAGGGGCAGAGAGAGAGGGAGACACAGAATCGGAAACAGGCTCCAGGCTCCGAGCCATCAGCCCAGAGCCCGACGCGGGGCTCGAACTCACGGACCGCGAGATCGTGACCTGGCTGAAGTCGGACGCTCAACCAACTGCGCCACCCAGGCGCCCCTGGCTTCTCCCTTTTAAAGAGAAACGTGCAGAATAAGCTTAGGCACTTTTCTTCAGAAAAGTCGTATTTAAGGTTGGTTGTTCCTGGGGTACCTGGGTGGCTCAGTCGGTTGAGCGTCCGACTTTAGCTCAGGTCACCATCTTGCAGTTTGTGAGTTTGAGCCCCGGGTTGGGCCCTGTGCTGACAGCTCGGAACCTGGAGCCTGATTCAGAATCTGTGTGTGTGTGTGTGTGTGTGTGTGTGTGTGTGTGTGTGTGTGTCTGCCCCTCCCCTGCTCACACTCTGTGTCTCTCTCTCAAAAATACATAAACATTAAGGTTGGTTGTTCTTTTAGGCATGCACACAGACCAAACGACCTATTCTCTTTTCCACAAAGGAAGGGGACACATTGGAGCAACCCCTGATGATTTGGGTCACAGGCTAGCTTTTATATGGGTCCCAGGATGTTGGTGTTCTACCCATCTCCAGGGATAAAAGCACTGCTGATGATTAGGGGATCCTATCCTCTTTGGAACACGTAAAGCTACTACGGCTACTCATTGCCACTAACCCTCTCACCTCAAAACTGAAACGATACAGAATAAAACAAAGAAACAACCAAAACCAAAACCCAAAACACCCCAAACACAAACAAACAAACAAACAAACAAACAAACAAACAACTGGCCAGTTGAGTCCATCTGGTAGAAAGACAACCTATTCAGATGAAGTCAAGTACAACAGTTACAGGGTCGCCGAATTCTAGCCTTGGACTTTCAAAAAAGTTCTGTTTTTCATGGTTAAGGCATCCCATAGGCCCAGCTTCATTATTTCTTCCTCACATCACACAGGAAAGGAGATGCAGCGTTCTTAGTAATAACTCACCACAAAGCTACTTTATGGAACATCTTCCTTCTGGCATAGCAAGCAAGAATATAGACTTTTAACCTAATAGATGAGAGTTTAAATCCAGTTCTGCTACTTCCTACCTTGTGATCTTGAGTGAGTGTCTTAACTCACCGAGCCTCTTTCCTCATCTGTAGAGTGGGAATATTAACACCCACTTGTAGAGAGATCTCAGGGGTGCTGCATAACCGATATATTCCTTCCAGTATAGTTCCTGGTTCCTAGTAGACCGACCAGCAGACATGAATTCCTTTTCATCTTTCTTCTGTGCCTCTGTCCTTAGTCTCTGCCTTTCAATCTTTACTGGGAACTCAAATCAGAGACCAGGTGCTATGACAAGAGTCTAGATAGACCAGGTATTACTGAATGAGGACCATCTTTCCTGTTGCTTCTGGCTTCTGGTTGTGTGTTTCTTCTTTCCCACTTGTGGTAGGTGTGAGTGAGTGCCCTGAAAGCTGACCACAACCTGGGCTTGATATTGACAATTTCTGTTTGAGCTTTTAAGAAGGCCATAGAGAGAAAGAGTGGACAGAGAAGGCAGGTTCTAGGTAGATAGCAGTCAAGGAAAGAATACGCAGTAATCTTGAGTTGGGGAAGAAGGAATCAAATTTTCTTTCTTTCTTTCTTTCTTTCTTTCTTTCTTTCTTTCTTTCTTTCTTTTGAAGGGAAGTAGATGAAAGCATTGTCAGGACTCAGGAAAACATGGTAAGTTTCTTTGTCAACAAACATTTATTGAGCACCTACCGTATATGGGCTCAGGTTTATAATAAGGTTCCAAAGACCTGGGACACTGATTCCTGCCTTTGAGTGCTTATGCTTTAAGTGGGCATACCAAAGACTGACAAAGGTCAACCCCAGGTTACTTGCATGTACCAATCCCACAGTTCCTAGAGGGTTTCAGACTGTAGGAGCAATTGGATGTGACTGATCAAGTAAGGCTTCCTGAAAGAGACAGTTTGAAGGAGACGAAGGCCATGGGCGAGGAACCTGGAGTAGCAGGTGCAAAGGCTTAGTGCTAAGAGAGTGTACCAGAGGGTGAAAAAAAGCCCCCTCCTCAAGTCCTTTGTGGCTCTCCTTTCGCCCTGAGCCCACTTTCACTGGCCCGGCGGCGACCCGAGCAGGGGGCTGGGCCACAAGCGGTCTCACCTCACTGGATCGGAGGACTCCGAAGAACGGGTAAAGGAAGGCAGGCACCAGGGCTGCAGCTCCGAGGGGCACCGCCTCAGACACCCAGTACACAGCAGTCACGATCAACACATAAGCACATGCGGCCTCCTGGAAGGGAAGGGGAGTGGGCGGTTAGCCACAGGGACAGCCATGGCCCCTGAGAATACAAACGAGACCCAGGGGCAGAGGCAGCTGGTACCGAGAATCAAAGATGGGCACGAGGACACAGCCCTGGGTGGGGGGGGGTGTGTGTGTGCAAAGCTGGCCTCTGGTGGACACGTGGCGGGGCCCACGCTTTGGCATGTGAAGTAATGGCTGCTCCTTGGGGGGGGACCGGTGCCTGGCACGTGGTTTGCAGCAGGATGGCCACCAGACTGACCATGTCCCAGCTCTGCTTGTTCTTGAAACTGTGCAGGGCGGGGACCCCAATTAACTGCGGTGCTCAGACCCGAGATCATCCGCTCTCAAGTTGGAGTTCATAGCTTTAACACGGAGCATGATATTTTGGTGTCGAGTTGACGGGGCGCAGATGTTCTCGGCATAGTTGAAAGTAGGGATCGATTTGTGTAACCAATTCAGATGTGAGCTCTGAGACTGGCCCTCTTTGGGGCTGGGTAATTCCTTGCTGTTGGGGCTGTCCTGTGCATTAAGATGTTTAGCATCCCTGGCCTATACCCACTAGATGTCAGTAGCACCTCCCCATCGTGACAACCAATGTCTTTAGACATTACTAAATATCCCTCCGGGTGGGAGTGGGGAAATTTGTCCCGGGGTGAGAACCATCGCCCTTACCATTATCTGGTTCTCATTGCCCTGGGACTTCATTCCACCTGCCTGATGCCCAGGGAGACATCCATGGGACATAGGGGATAAAAAGTGCTGTCTACCTGGAAGGGAAGGGCTGGAAATTTACGAGAGTTTTCCCCAGCCTCCTCCCTTTGCTGGCTATACCACACTGGTGTGCACGGAATAAAAAGGCACAACATTGTTATCAACAATCAGCCCTCCTTAACCTCAGCCTTTAGTAATTCTAGTTGCTCGGGATGATTCTGATTAATGGTGCTGAGAAAGGTCGCTGGCTTACTCTTGGGAGACGTCACTATCCAAGGGCCCTAACAACAGACTTGGAGGGCCACTGTATAGAAGGTGCAAGCTGGCTGTGGGTTCCTCAATTTATACGTAGTTCTAAACCATCTGGGCTCAGGTCTGACCTACCCTGAGGCTGGCTGGTGATCAACAAACCTGACAAATCTTGTTCTGTTTATCTCTCCCTTGGGTTCAGAACAAGCCTCCTCAAACTCTTGCACAAAAGTTACAAAAGGTCGCCATGATCAGTGAGGGGCGTCAGGAGTGATTAACCCAGCTTGGAAGAATGGAACCTTGCTCCCTCCTGATATGCATGGATTACTGCCTTGGGGTTTGAGAAATGGGAACAGGGCCCAATAATTGTTGACTGTAGCTCCCACTGAGATTTCCTCTGGGGCCAAAAGATCAGAGAGAAGTTAAAACTTTTGGAAGTCACTGATAAGACAACAGAACCAGTAAGGGGGGTGGGGGGGGGGGGAAGGCGCCATTGGAAAATAATGCAATTTAGAGAAATACCAACTTTGTTGCAGAAACAAAACTACCCAAAGAAGCCCTTTACCCTACTTGGGCCCACTTATTTCCATCTCTTTTCTGAGAAACAGAATGGCAGGTCTCCCGTAACTCAGCTGAAGATAAAGGGGGCCCTAACGATGGGACAGAATATCTGTCCCTCACTGAGAACTTTCGGTTTTTCTTGTCATAACAGAGCCACAAATTAAGTTAGGGAGGGAAGGCGCTGCAGTGGGAAGGGGTGACAGACCAAGAGAAAGAATGATAGAGAAAAAACTCTCTACCAGGCATCATTTTAGTTTGAATTAGGAAGATTTGGGTAAGCCAAGGTAAATTAAGGAATTAGGATGGGTTGGCTTGGAGGAAGTCAGCAAACCACTTTCATCCAGGATTTTTTTTTTTTAAGTAGGCTCCACGCCCAGCACAGAGCCCAAACCCACCGCCCTGAGATCAAGACCTGAGCTGAAATCAAGAGTCAGATGCTTAACCGACTGAGCCACCCAGGCGCCCCTTCATCCAGCATTATAAAGAACAGGATAACCTACCATCATCCTTTTTTCCTGAACTTTCCTTAGAGCAGAAGAATGGCCAAGAGAGGGCCTCCATTTGGCCTTTCCATATTTCTTGCCCACTTCACCCATGGAATTTACATAAACTTCCTTTTGCTCCTTCTGAACCTTCTCAAAGTTCAATGGGTAAGCTTATATTTAATAACCCCCAAAATCTTGTAAGGTTTGATTATAGGACTCCTGGGACCCCACATCTGGCCAAGGTCTGGCAGGTGGCTCAATTAATATTGGTTGAACTGAACTGGGTTCCTCTGTTGGCTATCAGGTTTCTCTTATCTATCGGAGAGAATATTCTGGAAACCCTAGGTCCCTTATCACTGCCGCTAGTCAGCAGGTATGTAGGGGCGGATGAGTATGCAGGCAGTGCCTTTAAAGGAGAGTGTTGCCAGCTCTGTTTTGCTGCCTTTTATAAATAAAGGAGGAAGCTCAAAAGCTCAAAAGTGGCTTTACCCACATTGGAAGTTTCCTGACTCTGCTACCAACTGATGTGTGCATCTGTTCCTTTTCCATGCTGTCCGGTCACCTCAGTGATGTGCCATTCAGACTTCACTGGAAGGGGCTTGAGGTCTTCTTTGCCGTCATAGATGGCTGTGACGCCTTTCTGCAATTAAGCTGGGGCTTGGGTGTAACTTTTATCCCACCAGGGACACTGAAGTGGGGCTAATTTATGGACGGCCCCCCCCCCCCCCCCCATCCCCTCCTCTTCTGTAACATGGTAAACTGAGTTTGGGCCCCTGGTTTTAGAGAGCTGGTCAGGAAAAAGGGGAAGGTCCTTCTAATCCTTCCTAAAACGTAGCTGTGGCTTGGCACTTTGAAGAATCATCAGAACAGCAGGCCAGGAGCTCCTGGCCGGATCCCTCCTCTCAGCTCCCGCCCAGGGCAAACAGGTCCACTTAGGAATCCTGAGGATTACATATCAGAATCTAAAAGTTTAATGCACAGGAGTAAGAATGGGTCAGAGATGTTCTATGTGTTGGCTTGTCCCGGTGACCTCAAGGTGCTTTTACATCATCGTAGAAGAGGAGCAGAGCCCTTGTTGACACTGTGACACACGGAGAAATCGTCTCTGCAGGGCAAACTGGGTAGATGGCAAGAAAGCTACGCCTGAAAGGCATGGGCCACCCCAGGCTCCATCTGGCTGTCCCGAGGGAGGGAGTCAAAATATCCACCCTCCGCTAACCCAGGTGCCTGGGGTAGTGTTATGTCACCTTTCTTAAAAGGCACTTGTTCTCAGCAGGGGGTGATTCTGTACCCCGGCCCAGGGGTATTGGTAATATCTGGAAGCATTTTTGGCCATCATGGGGTTGGCAGTGTGTGCTGCTAGCCTCTAATGGGTAAAGACCCGGGGTGCTGCTGAACTCCCTACAGTCGCAGGACAGCCCTCCCCACAACAGAGAATTATCTGGCCCCCAAATGTCACTAGTGTGGCTGTCGAGAAACCCTGTTCTAAGGTGACAGAAGGGGCTAGGTCAAGAAAGGGCAATGTCTCTTGGTCTCAGTAAGTCCAGCTTTAAAAATCTCTTCGAAGAATCTTTACAGATCCAAACAGAGCAGAGGCCCAGCTGCCCTTCCTTTTCTTTCCTCTTTAAGATAACACCTGTCTTCCTTCGAGTTTATTGATTATTTTGCTTGCTTCAATAACGGGTTTCTTTTTTCTTCTTGTGGATGCTTCTTACTGTCATTGGTGACTCAGAAGCTCAAAGCCAGGGCCTCAGAGTGAACTGGAGGCAACACCACACCCTAGACTCGTGGTCTCCAAACACAGGGCTGACTCGGGGCCACAGAGGTGCCTGATACTTCCATGGAGAAGAGGGCGACATGTCTTTGGTTAACACTCCCTTAAATGCAATCTGACATTGAGTAAAAAAAAACAACAACAACAAACCAAGAAGAAAAACAAAGAAGGAAAGAAAGAAAGAAAGAAAGAAAGAAAGAAAGAAAGAAAGAAAGAAAAAAAAAAACCAACCCATTTGGACAGATCAGAGAATTGACTGGTGTAAGCCCAGGAAAACTGTCAGCAGCAATCACTGTCTGCTAATCCCAGCCTGCTGTTAATCAGCGTCTCCTTGGCACTCTGGGGTATTTATTCTAGTAAAGATTTAAGCCAGTTTGTTTTTAAGACGAGCCACTCTAATCCCCTCTATTTAACTTTATAACTCAATGTCGGTTACCAAGTTACTCAGGGAGCTGCCTGGAAAATCTCTCCCCCTCCCACAAACATGATTAACCTCTCTTAGCTTATTTTTCCTGAAGTTTTAAGGGTAGTGGCAGCCGGAGGCGGGGTAGAGACCCTGAGAGGAGGGGGAGGAGGAGGAGGGAGACAGAAAGGGAAAGAGAGGCCAACAGTGGTCTGAAAAGCAAGCCAAAGGCAGAGCCCGAGCTTTCGGTATCTCTGTTCGTGCAGACGCTGTCAAAAATCAGGTCATGGGCTAGAGTTGGGGGCTTCCTTATTTCTTTTTTATGGTGTCATTGAATGCCCCCCCCTTCAAGGGCACAGAGAAAACACAGCGGATACAAATAATCAAAGGGCCATGCGCTGGGGACTGGGGCAATATGCCAAGCTCTGCTTTGAATGTGAAGTTCAGAGGGAACTTGAGCGATTGCATTTCAAAGCATGGTTATCAGAAGCTGGCATGGCCGGTCCACAGATGGTGGGTGGGGCAGAGGGTCTCCACAGAGACACCCCAGTCCCAGTCCCGAAGGGCAGTCCTCTGCCTGCCCATTGCCCCCACCCCCCACCCCCTCAGGGTCCTTCCTGGGAGGTCTCCCTCTCTCCAGCTCCCTCACGGGAAGATGGTCCCATGTGACCCCGGACAAACGCTGGCCCAGCAGCGTGTCCTTCTCCATATGGACACCGCGCGCGTCCCGTGGCCAGTTCGGGCGACCCAGGGATGGTGTAGCACCCATCAGCCGGTCCAGCCGCCCTTCCAGACTCCCCCCCCCCCCCCGGCAGGGGGCCACGCGGCTGGGGCCCTGGGAACGGGGTAGCGGAACAGAAGTGGCAGTTTGGGGGAAGAAAGCATTTGAGCCTACCCCAGAAAGGCACGTGCAGGCCTTGAGCCCCGGAGAAAACCCTGTCGAGAGACGCATCGCACCCCCATCCCTCGCCGTCCCCGCCCTGGCACCCGACGCCCGGCCCGGCAGGGACCGGAGGGGACAGGCGGGGACAGGCGGTACTCACGCTGCTGGGGTGGAGCATGGGCAGAGGCAGCAGCAGCAGCGGCACGAAGATAACGAGCAGCAGCTTTCTCGCCCGGAGAAGGCCCTGGAGCAGGCCCATCGTGGACCTCTGTGCGCGGGCGGGCCGCCAGGGGCCTCCGGCGACGGCTCAGTCCGGAAAGGACTTCTCAAAGCCTTCTCGGCTTCCAAGAGTCCTCTCTTGTCTTGGGGGCAGAAAAGGAGGGCAGTTACAGCTCCCGTTTGCACAAAAGGCTGGGCTCCTTGCCTCCTTGTTTAGGTGGGATTGGTGAGCATGGTTTTGCGCCCAGCAGAAAGGGAGCGGGAAAGGATCGTGAGCCGAGGCATAGCGGGTCCCCCTTCGTGCGGTTACCTCTAGAGTGACTTCTTTCTAGGGCCCTCCATCATTTTGCCGCTCTCTGATGGCCTGTTGGGGCAGTACCGGCCTCTCCTCTACCTGTGCTTGCTGAACCCCCTTCCCTTAACACAGCACCCCCACCCCCCCCACCCCAAGTTTGTCAGCGGCAGATGCAGACTTCAGATAGGGCTGCTTCTCTTTCTGGCACCTTAACTCGGTTCAAATTTCTTTCCTTCCAATTGGTTTCCCACTTATAATTTGCCTTGAGCCCGGGGCCTCCAAAGCAGGGGGAAAAAAAAAAAAATCCCCAGGACTGTCCTCGTCGTCCCGGGACAAAAATCTCGCTGGGGGCCCACCTTAACTTTCCTTCACCTATGGGAAGCCGGACAGGAGGCAGCAGCCCCGCCCATTCCTCAAAGCCAATCGGTACTTTGGAAAGAATGAGGCCGGATCTCTTCCAAAGGCAGCTCTTGATTGGTCCCAGCAGGGGCCTGCTGAGTCCGCAGAAGCTATAGGCAACTTGCAAAGCTTATTTTTGTTTCTCAAACGTCCTAGGGGCTGGAGTGACGATCATCATCGTCGTAAACACCATCCCACTTATGCAGAGCTGTCCCTGGGAGAGCCACTTACTACCCTGGTCCTTAGGAAGATGTGTTCGGTGGCAGGGAGAAAATGAAATATAATCATTCGGGGGGAAGTTGGCCCCCAGAGTGTACCATATTACGCCTTTCAGATATCCCTGGTGACAAAGATCATTTGCTTCAGCATCTGAGTGAGTACGAATCATCTGGACCAGCAGAGGGTGTTAGCCTCTAAGAAAGACCGCAGATCTTTTTAGGGAGAATGGGAAGGGTAGCAACCTCTCTGGAGAAGTCTAGATGACGGTCTCATTTCCAAGGCCCTCGGTGCCCAGATGTCAGTGGTCTTTCTGGCCGGAGTAGGTGCTCAAATGCTCCTCTTTGAGGCTCTTTACCGAAAAAACCGAAGCAGAAAGCTACCTTTGGTTGGTATGCAAGGAGGAAGGAGGTGGGAGGGCAGGGAAGAAGTTGACAAGTTCAGGGTCAGGGCCCTAGCAGCTGTTGCCCTCTGGAATTTCTGCTGCTTAGAGGTCAGGAGAAGCTGTCAGCCTCTTTTCTCAGAATGGACACGTGGCTCAGGTCACCCATGTTTTCCTGAATTCACAGAATTCAAGAATGGCATTCTATGGTCAACAGCTGTACCTGTTGGAAATGATCCCCAGGCTAAATGTAAAGTGATTGGAGAAGTGGCCCCAGAAAACCAGTTCTTCTTGACTTCCAAGGCAGGTGTAATTGTGGACAGTCCAGGCTCCCTCTGAGGTTATCTTGCCATCGTGGGATGGGCTATGATGACCCATCTCTTTCAATGCACGGTAGAGACTGGCTACCGTACATACTGCATTTGGGCCTCACTCTTGTGATGATTTTGTAACTCAGAATGACAATATCACGGGCGTGATGTTTGGGTGGCAAATATTAAAGAGGCTGGGTAATAATTAACCGCTGTGGAGATCAATATCCACTGTTAAACCCATGGACCGACCACATCACATTCCTTGGCGAGATAATCTGACATAACAAAGATTCCATTGAGCCTAGTAAACTCGATCATGACATTTTTATTATACCATAAAGGAATAACTGTTAAATAAAATTAGGGAAGGTGAGCAACACGGTAAGACCAGTAGTTCTCCTTCAGGGCTCTATCCATTTTTCAGATGAAGAAAACATTTTCCAGGATACTATGCTTAAGAAATATAAGGCAGGTTTCACTTCTCTGAGGTATCTAAAGTAGTCAATCTCTTAGAAAGTAGAAAGGCAGTTGCCAGGCACTGAGGGGGAGAGGAGAGAGGGGAGTTACTGTTCCAGAGGGGTCGTCTTTGCAAAGTGAAAATTCCTAGAGATCTGTCACACCACCCTGTGCCTATAGCTAACACTGTGCGGCACACATAGGCAACTCAGACGGTAAATTTCACGTTACTTTTTTTTTTTTTTTTTTTTTTTTTTTACCGCACAAAAAATTAGGAGACGTTAAAATGGGTTAGGAAACTAAGGGGTGCCATGTAAAGACATTTAACAAGTGTTTAATTTTAGACCGGTCCACCGGTGGAAATACCTTCTGACTGATTTACCACTGAGGCGATTCTCTTTTAGATTCAAGGCGAGATGAGAGGGCAATGGAAGTTTCAGCCATACAGATGTTTTTCAGCGTCTCTTGAGTGACGCCAGAGGTGGCCACCAGGATAGCAACGATAGAAGAAGCTTCCGGAATTTTTAGATCCTACAAGTTCCCAGCAGTATAGAAATGGCAGAATTAGTCCCAGAAGTTACAGGCACATTTCCTCTACAGAAACCATGCCCCAAATTATTCTGTCTATGCGTAATTATGACAAAAGGTGATCCAGTTGTGATGTGGTGCTACCGTGTGGGATCAGTGAGGCAAAATGGGACAGTCTTTTTCTGTCCAGTCTCCTATTTCACTGGTCGTTGAGCAAAGAGTCAGGTCTTTGGTGGCATTGGTGAGTGTTATATTTGATCTTCCGCATAAATGAAGTTATTGTGATAAAGCTTCTTGTGGGAAACAATTAATTTGTATTCAGCCCCAAATAGTATTTAATAGTGTCATGGAATTACTGAAAATGAAATTTTCATTTGTCTTTAAAAAAGTCATGCCCTTCTTGCTTCTTTCTTTTTTTTTTTTTCTTTTTCCCTCGGTCCTTGATTGCCACATAAACATGTGCCCCAATTCATGAGTACAAAAGTGCCTTTAATTTTTGCTGCAGGGTGAATGAACTTCCAGGTTATCACTGGTCCTGGGAACCATCCTCCCGTTCACGAATCTCCTACCACTGGGAGTGACCGCGAATATCAGAACATGACAGGGAGGGACTACAAGGGTGGTGGGTCTAACCAGTGACTGAACAAAGCCTCTCAGATCCATCCTGATGGGGGTGGAGGCCCGGGGTGGCCCGGGGTGGCATGCAAGACTGATGTCAGGGTATTGCACAATGTCAAAGGATTGAGCCCTCTGCTAACCTCCTCTACCCCACATCCAGAGAAAGTACAAACAGTGAAGGCAGCCATGAGGCTAATCGGCCTTTTGGGAACTCCTGGCCCTGTATGTTGACCTTTGTTTTGGTCAGACAGTGATACCCACAGGGGGCTGAAAGACAGCGTCAGAGTGCAAGCAGACAGAGCTAGAGTGAGCATACGTGCACCAAAAGAGACTGGGAGAAGTGGATACAAAGATAATCAGAATTGGGCCCAAAGATAAGGCAGAAGAGACACAAACCAGGTCGAAGAGAACATGGAATATCAGAAAGGGAAAAATGGAACCAAAAGCGTATATCAGAGACTGCATTTGAGGGCCGTAAAAGGGTGGTGTAATCAGGGAATGAGGGCCAGAGAAACCAGCAGTCGTTAATCTTCGGAGCCCGAGAACATCAGGATTTTTCCATGTTGTATTTTTCTCTGATGATGAATACCTTCGTCCTACATCCTACTGTTTCTCCAAAAGGATCATGCAGCTGCGAAGCAGTGACTTATTCAAAGTTTTTAAGAAGTCCAGATCAACTTTAGGCCATCATCCAATGACAGTTGTTAAATACCCATTTCAGAATCAAATTTTGCCGGATAAGATGTCACTCATTCAAAGATTAGACCTCTTGCGACGTTAGCCTCCAAAACCCAGCTGTCAAGTCGGGAGAGCCAGGGAGGAATCCGTATTAGAGCCTAGTGCCTCCCTCTAGCAGAGACCTTCGCCTACTAGCTCCGATTTAACATGGAATTATGACAAGCCTCCCTGCTTTGTCCCTTAGGTGGGAGCAGCCAAAATAGAACAAATTGCAACGGGCAAGTTGTGTTGGAAAGAAAGAGGAGCGCCCTCTTACAGCCTCACGGCGCAGAAGGCAGGACACACACCCGAGAGAATCAGCCAAGCCCCGGGGCCTTCCGGGCTTGGCGCAAACAGTCCAGCAGACCCCTTAGGTCCCGGTGTCCCCCCTGTGATTATCTCACGGCTGCTTCAGTGATCGTGGAACTTTCGGAAGTCGAGCGATCTTAGAGGTTATTTTATCCAATTCCTTCATCAGAACGTTTCAAAGATCCTAAATAGAAGCTCAAGATGTTTCGTACATACGGTTAACAAAGACAGCAAGTCAGCATTGCTAAAATGAAGGTTGTGGCATTTGAAAGGGTAAGTTCTGTTGTCTAAAAAATCATTTGTATTTGGAGCGCTCAGTTTTGGAGCTCTTCCTAGGATGATCCTCTCTGCATTAGCGTGCTTTCTCTGTTCGGAAGACGAGGTCAGACGGTTTGCAGCCTCTCTGTGGGCCCCCGCCGTGTTTCTCCTCTGTATTAGATCCGCTTTCACAGAAGAAGAGACAAGACAGAGAGGCCATAACATTACTGATTTTCTGGCTGATGCTTCTTGGTGACTTTTGGAAAAGTTGACACGTGGATCTTTGGCTAACAAAAGTGTTGATTTGCTATAGCTCCAGCTTTTCGTTTTAAGTATCTTAACTATGTGGAACCTTTGGAATGATGTTCATTTGGCCTCACGCCCTGATCTCTGTCCCCCCATCTTCCCGCAATGCCCAAACCTCTGTGCCGTCTCCTCTAGCTCTGTCTTCGCCCTCGGGTGTTTATGGCGGTCACTCGGTGATGCAGCGCATCACCAGGCAAATCAGGTGGCCTTTGGAGGCATCTTGAATGACCACGCTAGCCCTTTCTTGCAGCCCCGGTCACACCGTGACACGAATTAGATGTGCTTGTCAGGGAACTACGAGGGGCAGAGGACATGGGGTTACTTATTTTATCTCTGCTACTCTGAGTTGGTGGCATGTGCTTTGTTGCAGGGCTCTGTAAATGGAGTAGAGAATGAAGAGTGTTTGGATTACCGCGTGTGCTGGTCCCTGCTCCGTGGCCGTGGGCCGGGCTCTCAGGGAGACACTCTGGGGCCCGAGGACCGCATCAAGTCATGCCTCAGGGCCTGGAAGAGGCTAAGGAGGGATTGGGCCCAGATGTCCTTCTGATGCCCTTGGGACAGGGCGGTGCGGTAGGCCGTGTAGGCCAGGGTCAGCGCTGTCCTTTCAAAGTCCTCTTTCTTGAGGATGCCAGGGTGGCTGGAGAGGCTGGCACTCAGCCGGCGGATGTCCGGGATGCGCTTGGGGATCACGTCATTGCAGATGGTGCGGAAGTCGGAGGCTTTCCTCAACGAGGAGAGCTCCTCGTCCTTGATGGAGATTTTCAGGTCAGGGCTGATGTCAAGTTCAGCTAGCAGGAACTGGAGAGAGACACGGGGCGTGGAAAGACATGAAGCATTCAGGCTTCACTGAGGACACCAGTGTATTCGTTACCACGTGTGTTCATGGAGGGAGACAGACGAGGAAAGAGCTTTGGAATCCAAGAGACCTGGGTTCCAGTTGCGACCTTCCCACTAGCTGTGTAACCCTGGACGAGCTACTTAACTTCTCTGAGCCTCACTTTCCTCCTGTGTGAAATGGTTAGTAACAGTACTTCACTGGGAGGTTGGGAGAAATAAGTAAGGCAAATACGGACAACGTCTAACACTGTGGCTGGTACAATGCCACTATTTAAGCGACTGACTTACTGTTATGAGTGCCCTGGACCAACCCCCGATTCCCTTTCTCCCCCCCCCCCCCCCACCCACCGAAGATCTTCTAAAGCATGCGCTGACGGCTTGGGGTAATTTAAAATCAGAAGCTGAATCTGAAGGATGCAGAGAATTGTACGAGGAATTAAGTGGGACACAGGGATTTGTTCTCATTTCTCACCTGTTCTTTAAGTGTAGGGTGGGGTAAGCCACACGCAACCCCTGCTCAGGACCAGGCTCATATGAGGAACGTAGTAAATACCTCTTGGACTCAGAGTTCTAACTCTCTTCTTTGTCTCTGACTCCCCCTGGCTCTAATCCATCTTCCATGCTGTTCTCTGCTATCTTTCTAGAACAGATCTGTTCACGTGACTCCCAAGTTCCAGACGTGGCCAGGTTTGTTCCCCGTGGCAGGATCTGAAATCTCTCCCTCCTCCCCCCAGCTCAACTGCTTGGCTGCAGCAGGCCATCTCTTTCTTAACCCGAAAGTTCTGGTACGTGGAGGATGTGGGAGGATGTCAAGGCAGGAGGGGGATTTGGGAGATCATTGTGGTTCCTCATTTAACAGTTGAGGAGATTCAGCCCCAGAGAGCAGTGGGGCATATGCAAGGTCGCACAGCCGATGGCGATCCTGGAATTTCCCCACTGAGCCAATCCAGGCAGCCTTGGGGGATTCGCCTGTGGTTTGGAGAAGGAGTGGGGTATTGGCGGCAAAGGTGAGCGAGGCAGAGGAAGAGAGCCTTCGGGGTGGCCCCAGACTGTCAGAAGCATATAGTTACTGGAGACACGGCTCTACTGAGACAATCGGGGTGGCGTTGCCTGAGCACCCCTGAGCCTTTGCTGGGGAACGTGGCTCTGCTCTGCAGCTCGGGTGCTGGTACTCGGAAATCTCGAATTTTGCCTGGACTGAACCCTGCAATGCCATCATTCCCTGTCACGGCGTGTGGGAAAGGGAGGAGATATGAGGAATACCTTACTGTGGGATGGGAAGGATTCGATGAATCCACAAACTGGTCTAGACCAGGCCCTATGACAGCAGGGGCCACTCATTTTCAGGGACTTAGGTCCCTTTGCCAAAAATCACAGCGAAGGTGCGACGCCTTTTGCGTGACTTGAATTGACCACTTTCTTGTCCTCCTACCTCGTAGAGCAGTTCTACTTCCTCCAGGGAGCTCTGCAGGACGGGATTCAGGGGCATGGATGAGGATCTCTTTGGCCGATGCGCAGCAGGAAAGAGCATGGCTGCAAAAGACAGGAGTTAGTTCGAGAGGCTGCTTGTGCACATGGCCTTCTCCCCACCCCCGCTGACCTGGAGGTGGGCCGGCCCGTCTTGAAAGTGACTGACTCCACGTGGTGGTGGACGTGAAGCAGGAAAAAGGGACAGATGACTCTGGTGCGCCCCAGAGGGCTCCCAGGCATGTCCCATGTTACTATTTCAGACCAGTGATTTCAAACCCGCTGCTCATCAGAATCATCCCAGAAAGTGATGAAAAACTAGATGTCTAGGGATATGGATACCTTAGGGAATTTATGTAAAGCAAAATAAAACAGAGCAGAAATGAGCGGACAGCCCCCCCTGCTGCCCCCCGCCCCGCCCCCAGTTCAACAAATGAGTTCTCTAATAACACCGTTCCCTTTGTTAATACGAAATGCTGGTTTATATTTATTGACAACCCTTTTAATCAGAGGATCAGACGTCTGGCTGTTCCTCAGCCATCTGAAATCGAGCTGCCAAGACGCTGGACACAGGTGACAAAGGAAAGGCAGAGAGCCGCCACAAGCCCCTGACACTTGGCCCTAGGGGTGTGTGAAGCAGAGCTCAGGGCTCCCCCTGGGGGCGGGCTGAGAGGGGCACGTGGCGTGCAGTCGTTGGTTCGCCAGTGTTTTTGGAGATGCTGCATTTGGAGGTGGTACCTGGAGGAAGACGGATGAGCTGAGGGGTGGAGGGGGTGGCAGAATTAGGAAGTGACAGAGGGCAGGTGAAGAAGACAGACTAAGGTAGGGTATGGGTGTAAGCGTTATGAATCCCAGTTCTCCAGGATGGTCTTGGGTAGGAGCAGACAGCCCCGTTCACCCCACAGCCACACCTTGTACCAGGGCGCTGCGCAGAAATGATTGGTAACCCTGCTGCCTGCAAATAAAAGAAGGGACCCTTTTCTTCAAGACACTTGCTTGTGCCCTGCAAGTGCAGGCACAGGAAACTGGGGAACCAACTGTAAACATCCAAGCCGTGTTCAGGTAAGTAGCGCCCCCTGAAGTTGCGCAGTGCACGAATTGCATAACCATACGTGACCGCTCTCCTTCTTGATAACGGTGCCCCCGGGGCCATCAAGAAAGGGTCCAGGGACGCCCAGGGTACTGTGGCTAAAGAAGTAGGGCACTGCGTAAGCATTTTAGAAGACTTTCTTTTTTTTTTTTTAATTTTTTTTTCAACGTTTATTTATTTTTGGGACAGAGAGAGACAGAGCATGAACGGGGGAGGGTCAGAGAGAGAGGGAGACACAGAATGGGAAACAGGCTCCAGGCTCCAAGCCATCAGCCCAGAGCCTGACGCGGGGCTCGAACTCCCGGACCGCGAGATCGTGACCTGGCTGAAGTCGGACGCTTAACCGACTGCGCCACCCAGGCGCCCCTAGAAGACTTTCTTTTGGAAGGGATAAAAATGAAGCATCTTCAACATAGGGGACATTTCCTGAAAAGCGCATTGGTAGGAATCTCCCACTTCCTGGAAAAAGCTGGCTGGTTGTAGTATTGCTATGATATCATTTCCTCCGTAACTCATTTCTTATCTTGACCACGTGTTTCTCACAGGCTACGACCCATATGGTTTTGTGTTTCTGCACCTCCAGCAGGGCCTGGCAGGCTTCCAGGGTGTGTGCAAGGTGCAGCTGTTGGCTGACCAAGTCCCTGCGTGGAACGAGGCCTTGAGGGGCTGACTGGCCAGCTCTGCCTCCCCAGAGGATTTGGGGGAGAGGAGCCTGGGAGTTGCAGAGCAATATTTCCTGGCCCGGCATTTTAGCAAAATTTGTTTTCTTTGCCAGTGAAGTGCCAGCTTCCCACGGAATCGTGGATTTGGGGGCTTGAGAAGGCCTTTGTCCCTGTTAACTGTTGTTTCAGGTGGGGCTCAGGAGACTGAGGCATCTCCAGCTCTACCGGTTTGCAACCTTGACTGCACATTAGAATCACCCAGGGGATGTGGGGGGCGGTCTACGGCCATACCACCCTGAGCACGCCCGATCTCGTCTGATCTCGGAAGCTAAGCAGGGTCGGGCCTGGTTAGTACTTGGACGGGAGAATCACCCAAGGGGCTTTAAAAAATACTGGGGCCTGGGGCCTGGTTCAATTGAACTAGGGTACAAAGGGGACAGGAGGATTTTTTTTCAAAGCTTCCTAGGCTTCGAATGGCAGCGTCTAATGGTAGCCAAGGTTGAGAATCAGAGGCTGTTTGACCTGATGTGTAGAAGGAGCTGCCCAGGCTATATGACCACTCTCAGGTTAGCCCAGGGGTTCTTCCTTCTGTGTGCCCTTTTCTTCTTACCCTGAAGGGGTGGATGAAATTCTGTTCTCGGGATCTGAGAACAACTTTACTTTCATTCATCTCCCTAGCGGGATTCCTCTCTTCTAGTAAAATTACAAGTATTGTTCCCTTAAAATAATTCACACTGTCCCCCCCCCACCCCAAATTCACACCCCAGCAGGTAAAGGGGATGAGAGGAAATAAATGTCCTGGGCGTGGAGTCCTTTCTGTGTCCTGTCGTCTCAGACTTGGGACGGCTGCCTTCTGGGAAGTTCTTCGCAGCGAAATCGTCTCCCCGTGAATACCGACCCTTCTTTGACTCACACGCCCCAAGTGGACCCTGGGCTCTCAAAGAATGGGGAAGAAAACACTTCTAGATTCAAAGCTCAGCTTAATAATGAAAACACTGTTGTTCCCAATAGCTCTTACTCTCAGTCTTCTTAAAAGAGCGAAGATTGTTAGAAATAGCTTCAGCCTCTAGACCCAGGGACTGATGATTGCCCCAGACAGTGTGGGAGGAACATGGAATTCTGAAAGATGGCCCCCTCTCTCCTTGCTGTCCTGTTCTACCCACTTCCACTGCATTCTGCTGGTTCTCCTCCCACTGGCGGTATGTTGGGCAGGTGTTGTCTACCGCCATGGGTGTGGAAGTGTAGCCGGCCCCCGGCCAGACATCTCAGAGGCTCGGCAGTTGCCCAGGTCTGATTTCCCGTAAGCCAGGCGAGGCCTGGAGAGGAGGAATGTGCCTTCACGGAGATGCTGGAGGCAGCGCATGAGAAATAAGCTATGTCTGGGCCGTGTCAAAACATTTGGGCGTAAAGTGAAATATGCAGTCACTCCAGATGTTCTGGTCTCCGACAGTGAAGGCCCGACTCTGCCGGAAGTGAAAATGGCCAAAGCAAGAGCAGACCCGCTCTCAGAGGTGTCTATGGGTGAGGCTTTGAACCAGACTTGCTCCCTCATGGGTAGACCAACAGCCTCATTCCCCCAGGAAGCCCTTCCCCGCGACCCCGCTGTCCACCGTCCTTCTTCATCTCCGTAGGCCCTCGGCATCCTTTCTACACATTTCACGTCTTGCCGTCCGTCACCCTGAAAGTGTTCGTTCTGGTTGCCAGCTCCCGGGAGCGAGGGAGGGAAGAAGTTTCTGCTTCCCCTGTTTGACCTTGATGTCTGCATAACACTGGGTTTTAAGGGAAGCCTCAATGTATATTTGGGGATGATTTTAAAAACAAACCACGTATTTTTTTTTTTTTTTTAAAGCCCAACAAGGGGCATCTGGGTGGCTCCGTCGGTTAAGCGTCCGGCTTCCACTCAGGGCGTTATCTTGTGGTTCGTGAGTTCTAGCCCCGCGTCGGGCTCTGTGCTGACAGCTCGGAGCCTGGAGCCTGCTTTGGACTCCGTCTCTCTCTCACTCTGCCCCTCCCCATTCACGCTCTCCTTCTCTCTCTCTCTCTCTCTCTCAAAATAAATAAACATTAAAAAAGAAAAAGCAAAATCCCAACAAAAACAGAACCGCCATGGAGACTCCTCAAGCTTTGCTGGGGTTTTTCCTCTCTTCCTCCACCTCACCCCTACATTTATGGGGGTCCTCGTAAGGCTGTGTCCTCACGGAGAGTGATTAGTCAACGGTTTGGGGCAGCACAGTCTTCCCTAGGCGGAGGGGAGGGAGACCAGAGTGCCCCCACTGGATGGCCGTGAGCAACAGCACCTTCTCTGAAAGAGGGGACAGTGGGGGAAACTAGAGACTGGCAGAAGGGTCCCACTCCCTCCTAGGCACCACCTGAATGTTGAGCCTCAGGCGGGAAGGCTACAGGGACAGGCGTGTCAAAATCACTGACTTTACGTGCCTTTTGGTTGGTGTAAAGCTGGGCCACTATGTTTCCTTCTTCTCCACCCGACACACCTAGCCCACTCTTCCAGGATGCGAATGTGCCCGCGAGGACCACTCCGCGCCACCAGGGGACGTCGGAGACTTCCACGTCTCCTCGCGCAAAGGTCTCCTGTATGGCTGGTCGCAGGGCAGGAAGACCATGGGCTTCTCCCCAGTTCCCTGACTCCCTGGACAAACGAGCCTTCGGGGGGGAAATTGAGGCTCTGTGATACATTGGACAGACCAGCACAGAGCAAATGACTCACTTGCTAAAGGTTATGCCCGTGCACCAAGAAGCCCGGGAACAGAGTCCAGAGACTCGAGCGTCATGTGTTGGGGCCTGTTCTGTCCACGTCTTTTGCCGAGGGACACATCTGGGCTGCGGACCAAAGTTGTTAAAATGTGGAGCTCAGATACCCTAACTGTGCACGAGCCCACTGTGTGCTCATCGGCGTGCTTTGGGCTTTCCACACGCACCTTGTGAGGTAAGCACTAACTTGCCATGTCATAGATGAAGAAACGGGGAGGTTAAGAAACTTGCCCCGGGCCACCCAATTTGTTTGCCGTGGGACTGAGATAAAAGCCAGGCTTCGTGGGCTCCAAAACCCAATCTCGCCAGTAGGGAGAACAGTGCTGTCTTTTTTGTAGGCGTATCGGCCCAAAGACTGGGCTCGGGGAAGGATAATGTAGTTAATGATGAATGCATGTGGTATAAAACAGATTCTGAAATGAGTCACGCACAATCTTTAAAAATCTCCGACTTACGGGGCGCCTGGGTGGCGCAGTCGGTTAAGCGTCCGACTTCAGCCAGGTCACGATCTCGCGGTCCGTGAGTTCGAGCCCCGCGTCGGGCTCTGGGCTGATGGCTCAGAGCCTGGAGCCTGTTTGCGATTCTGTGTCTCCCTCTCTCTCTGCCCCTCCCCCGTTCATGCTCTGTCTCTCTCTGTCCCAAAAATAAATAAACGTTGAAAAAAAAAATTAAAAAAAAAAAAAAATCTCCGACTTACAATAATGCGAGACGCAAGGTCAAATTACTACAGGCCTATGATTGCTCTCTTACATAGACCGCCCACTCCTTTGCTCTCTCTTTGTTCCTTTGTGACCACTTGGCAAAATGACACCCCATCTCTTCGCCTATTCAACTGCTGCACCTGTTCACCTGAAATGCGGCCAGAGGAAAACACACCCATGTTAGACGGTCTCCTTTTGAGTTCATGATCGTTATCCTCACATGGGCCTTTATGTGAAAATTTTTTTTAACGTTTATTTAGTTTTGAGACGGAGAGTGTGAGCGGGGGAGGGGCAGAGAGAGAGGGAGACACAGGATCCGAAGCAGGCTCCAGGCTCCGAGCTGTCAGCCCAGAGCCTGATGCGGGGCTCGAACCCACGGACCGTGAGATCATGACCGGAGCTGAAGTCGGACGCTTCACCGACTGAGCCACCCAGGGGCCCCCTCATCTGGGCCTTTAAATGCTGCCCGACCATTACCCATACTTCCCGGTTCCTCTCACTTGGTTTCACACCTTCCGCCCTTTCCTTAAACCTGTTGCCTGTCTCTTGTCCGCATACTCTGACTTCTCTGCTATTGTGTCCATGCTCCCTTCTCCACGTGGGTGTGCGGAAGTCTCCACGGAAGATGGCCTTCAGCCTTTCCACCTTTTCTCGCCTGCATCGTTAATTGACGTTCCCCTCCTTACTGGATCATTGGCATCAGCACAACAACCGGTCTCTTTCTATCTTAGAAAAAGAAACCCCTCTTCACTGGCTGCCCTTCGTTCTCACCCACCTCTTCACAGTGCGGAGTCCTGGCCTCGTCTTCGGCTCTCTGCTGTCTTCCGGCCACACTCACTTCCGTGCTGACTTTCAACTTCATATTCCAGACCAGACATCCATGCCCCCGACCACCTGCAGGCATCGCCTTGCCCATTCGTCTCTCCTGACCCCACACCCAGGCCCAACCCCAACACACACACACACACACACACACACACACACACACACACACAAATGCACACACATCACACACATACAAACCCATCTCCCCACCCCCCCACCCATACCCTTCCTTCTTTGTCTAGTCCCCATCTCTCTCAGTTGCTCAGGCCAGACACCTGGACTTTTCTATTTCACATCTTACAGCCAACCAATCAGCAAATCTTGTGGGCTCTACCTTCAAAATATACCCGGAGTCTGGCTGCTTCTTGCAACATCTCTGCTCGACCCCTGGCTCCGGCCGTGAGCACCTCTCCTAGTGGTGTCTCCGCTTCCATCCTTGGCTCCCCCCGTCATTCTATTCTTAATACAACCACTAAAGGGAAAACGTAGGTCAGATGCTGTCACTCCTCTGGCCAGAACCCTTGGTGGCTTCAATCTCGCTCAGAGTAAAAACCCAAGCTCTCCAGAGGGTGAGCAGGTGCTACAAGACTTGACCTCTTCCTACCTCTCTGAACTCGCTCGTCATTCTCCCTGGGATCACGCCACCCTAGCTGTGGGCCTCACCGTTCCTTGAGCATGCCGCACCTGCTTCTACCACTGGGCCTTTGCACTTCCATTTCCTCTGCCTCGAATACTCTTTCTCTGGCAATGGAGTGGCTTGTGCCCTTGCTTCCTTCAGGCCTTTAGGCACCTCTTTAGGGAGACCCTCCCTCACGGCTCTATTTAAGAATATAATCCTCTCTACTCCGTCCCTAATTTATTGTCCTCAAACAAACCAGATGTCTTATTTGTATAGGTGTTTATTGTCTGTTTCCCTCACTAGAATGTCAGCTCCCTGAGAGCATGGGATCATGTCTGTTTTGTTTGCTGCTGTGTTCCCAGTGGGAAGCATCCTGCCCACACCTGTTGAATGAACCGATGGTCCATAGAAACACATGAACTACCCTTGTCACCCCCCTCCATTCTTTTCAAACAGAGCGCTTTACTAAAGCCTTCTTTTCTAACAGGATGGTTCTAGAACTTATTTGCAATTCCAGGTGCCGGCTGAATATCAAAAGGTTGGTGTGGTCTCCTGTCTCTACCACACCCTCCTTTTATCTCTGAGAAGTCCTTATCCCTGCTTGGGAGAAGCTCCTTTTTTTTTTTTTAAGTTTATTTCTTTTGAGGGGGAGAGAGAGAGAGAGATGGAGGTAGTGTGCGTGCAAGAGGGGGCAGGGGCAGAGAGAGAGGGAGAGAGAGAATCCCACACAAGCTCTGCACTGTCAGCACTGAGCCTGATGCTGGGCTTGAACCCAGGAACCATGAGATCATGACCTGAGCCAAAACCAAGACCCAGACACTTAACCGACTGAGCCATCCAGGCACCCCTGGGAGAAGCTCCTTTGAATGATCTCGGTCAAGGCTGGCACCTGTCCCTCCCCCTCCTCCTCCCCCCCCACCTACCTTGAGCTGTCCAAGCTTTCTCACCCAGACCCGGGGGCAGAAGCCCCCTTACATGGAAGAGCCTGTCTTTGCTTTGTGACCTGACCTTCTCTCTGACTTCTTGTGATCTGGGGCAAAATCTCCACCCACCCCACCCCCCTCCCCGTCTTCCAAATGTGCTCAGTAGAACAGGATGGTATTAAGGCCGACCACGGCTTCCACATAACCACACAGCACTTGTCGCAGAGAGCTTGTTGGGAAGGATTCCAACTGCACACCATATCAAGCCAAAGTACGACCACATTTTTAATGAATCCGTGAAAGCAACTCAGTGCAAATGATCGTGGGTGTGGAGGGGAAAAAAAACCTCTCATTTACAAAAGATCTTTTGGGAGATCTTATCGATGCCACTTACTTTTCTGCTCCCGGGCCAACCCTTTGGAAACCCAGTGGCGTGCTGAGGGAGCCAGGACCTTGGCCCCGCGTGTTGGGGTCCTCTGTGGGAGTGTTTCTGAAAGGGCCAGACTGCCCCACCCCCTTGGGGGAGCTTAGGGCTGCCGGGAGCACCCGGAGGGGACGTGGGAGCGCCGGGCAGACTCTGATGCCATAGATGCTGATGCTGGGCTGGGGGACAAAAATCCAGCTGTGTCCTTCCGGCGGAGGGACCTGGGGCTCATCAACTGTCTCATCCTCTGGTTCCCTCCCCCGTGGATGGTCAGAATAGCACCTGCCGGTGGGGGTTGCTGCGGCCACGCCGGTGCGCTCAGTTATCCCTGTCCCGTCAGTCAGTCAGGACTTACTGAACACTGATCACCGGCCCTTCCCTTGATGGAACATTCGTGATTGAAAGCACACACGCTAAAAGGGACACGTAAAGATGACATAAATCCCACCAGGTAACTAAAGGGCCATCCTTCTCTATTAGCCTGCTTTAAAAAGAATAATTTACGTGTGTTTAATAAAAACAGATGTTTAATGTGGACATTCTAATATATACTTTGCTCTTTTTGTTTTTAAAGACTGGTTAGCTCCCCTCAGCCCCCCAAGTGGAGCTGTGGCAGGCCCTGAGGGCGCAGGGAGTTGGGCCAGGCGTGTCCGGCTTCTAGGCTGGCCTCCCGAACCACAGGTGAGTCATCAGGTCGGTCAAGTTGGTGGGGCCGGAAGAGCCTGGCTGGCCCGGAAAGCTGCCTCCCAGGGCGGAATCCTAGAGAGCACTCGTTGGGAGAGGCTGGGAGAGCCTTGGGACAGAGGGTGTGTTCCTTCTGGGTTTATCTCTACAGTTCCGCTTGGGGGCAGAGGGTGGGGGAGGGTGGAGGCCGGGGTGCTGGCGTGGGGGTGGGGGTTGGGGTAAGGATGAAGGCCAAAGGAACAGTTAAGTACGTTTGGAAAAATTGCTGTGTACTTGGGCGTGACTCTCATTCCGTCTTTAAAAGAAAAGGACAGTTGGGTCCTCCTTTTATAATTAGGAAAAAATGTTAAAAATGAAAAAAAAAAAAAAGCAACTACGTGGAAGACTTTTGATGATGGTTGCGGGACTCTGTCATTTGTGGAGTCCGAACCCTGACGGGAACCACTAATCTAGCGCTTAACACGGATGCCTCATCCTGTCCTCTGTTTCACCAGTGCTGACTTCCCGTCTCCAGATGGATTTGTTATTATCATGCAGGGGGCAGACCTTCCCCGGGGAGGCCCGGGGCAGCCACTCGGTCCCAGGCTGCTGCTGCTGCTGCAGAACCCTCGGTTGAGCACCCCAAACTTCCTCCATGAAGTTTTTTTCAGAGGTTTAAGTGGGAGGTGACAGCTCACATTTAGAAGGTTCTTCATGGCGTACAAAGCGTCTTGTTTACACTTTGAATGTGACCTTCACCACGAAGCGGGGAAGATAAATTTTGTTACTGTTAATACGCGACATGTTAGTGAACCAAAGCTCGGAGAGGTTAAGAAGCTTGCCAGACGTCACACGACCAATTAGAGGCAGAACTGAAATCTCTGGGTTGCTTGCGGGGAAAGCTCATGATGTGCCTCTGAAGTTTCCAAGCCTTGTTACAAGTCAGATTATCTCATTTGCCTTTCTAACAGCCTGTGCATTAGGAGGGTGGATGTTGTCATCTTTCTCTAAGAGACAAATTAAGGAAGGCCCCCAGTGTCGCGCAGGGGCAAGGGGCCGAATGTAACGCCAAGATCTCTTTGCTCTCCTCCTAAGTGTCGCCTCCAACGTTTGTGCGTATCATGAGCAGAGGTGTGTGTGGGTGTGGGTGATGTTACCAGACGGAAAAAAAAAAAATAAATAAAAGGAAAACGCTACATGAAATATTCGTCTCTGGGCAACAATCGCTTCACAGCTCGGCTCAGAGAGCTGGCAAGTCCCTGATCTCAAGCTTAAAAATGAGGGAATAAGAACCTCAGATAAGCGCGGTGGCTTTGCTCCCCGCCCGTGTCACATCCATTTGCCCTGTGCTTCTCTGTTCCACACTGGCTGCTCCTTTCCCGACACTCTCCCTGAGAACCCGGAGGCTCATCATCACCCCCGCTGTGCCCCCGCCGCCATGCCCGTCCTCATTCTATTTTGGATCGATCTCTAGAAACACCTATGAGCCTGACCTCTCTTTCCAGCTCTCTTGGGGAGAGAGACCTCAGTCCATTTCAAGCAGTGGAGACTGTCGGGTTGAGCTCTGCACGGAGTGGTCCTCACTGCTGCTCCCCTGGTCCCCAGCGGTGATCAACTGTAATTGGCTGGACGGGCGACCAGTATCTGCCACCCGGAGCCGGTCCTGGACACAGAGAAGAGGTGCCACGCGGTCCCCAGGGGAAGGAAGTCGGCTGTGAGCGAAAAGCCTTGCCGGGTTCCCTCCTCTCCGGGGTGGACTGCGGGGCCAGTGGGAGTAGCCGTCTGGCACACACGTGAATGCTAAGGGTCACCCTTGCTCTCCTGCCACTGGGCCGGCTCTCCCCAGCTGGAAAGATGTGCCCAGTCTAGCTCAGGAGCCGCGTGGAGACCTCCATGTGGCCAGCCTGTGGCCAGGGCCCCTAGTCGGGTCCCCCAGGTGGCAGGCCTTTTGCAAGCCAGCACCCAGAGCCCCGGGATACTGGTGTTCGTCCTGGTACTTGCTGTTCACGTGCCCTGTCTGGCCGCAGCAGGGGGTGGGCGGGCAGAGGGGCTGGAGGGAGACTACCCACATCCACGGAGCAAAGATAACTTGGCTCTGGCGTGTCAGAAGGGGCTGTTTTCTGCATTCTCCACCTCCACCCAGATCCCTCAGTGGCTTTGATGTGTTTCAGCGTCCCATCCCCCATCACCTTCTAGCACCTTCTGACTTGTCAAGAAGCATAAAGTAATTGGCAGAGACGAGATAAAAGAGGGGTGTGTGTGTGGGTGCCGGGCGTCTAATTTCCTTCTACTGCCTTATTCTCCCCCCCCCACCGCCCCCAGATTTCTAATTGCATTTGAGAAAGAATAATGAGCATCAAATAAATACAGAGCAACTTACCCCTGCTCCACCTGTGGGACACCGCCGCCTGAGCATCATAACACAACAGCAGAAGCAGCAGCGTGTTCCAACACATCTTTTGCTCCAAAAAGGTGACACTTGTCCTCGAACCCAATGGGACCTCAGGAGCTACAGGTATGCCCGTACTGGTCCTCCCAGTGTGAAGGTAGAGTTCTTACCCCCCTTCCCTTTACAGAAGTGCAAAAGGCGTCCTTTCCTGCCCCAGAAGGGTGGAGGCAGAGACTGCCTCTTAGGGGGGTGGGGACACAGGAATTGGGACCTCTGCTAATTCGACTCTCTCTGGGATTGGGGGACCGGGCTTCCACAGAGAGACTCTGTTTTTGAGCACATCTGGAGTGACTCACGGGGCATGTGATCTCCTTGGCAGTCGGGTGGATAAATATAATTTCTGTACTTGAGTTCCATGTGTTGGATGGACCCACTGGAATTTTTCTTTAGCAAACAGACTCGTGGAACTTGTTAGAGAGCCCGGCAGAGAGCTGGCTGCTGTCCGCATCAACACACACACACACACACACACACACACAGCAGAGCCAGGGGTGTAGACTGCAGGAAGAGCCAGGAGGCTTGGCTGGCAGACCAGACGCTGGGGCTGGCAGCCCAGCCTTGCCTTCAGGACAGCAGAGTCATTGTGGTGTCCGGGCTGAGTGTCACTTGCTGCCCTTCCCCTGAGCTGGACCTCGCCACGTTGGTGCCTGGGGCTGGCTCTGAGAGCCTTCCCCAGGTGGCAGGGTCAGCAGGTTGTGAGGGGCAGAAGCAGAGCAGTGCTGTGGCACGGGGGTATTGTATATGCAGGTAACCATCCAGGGACCCACAGGTGACCCTCTCCTCCCGGTCACATTCATGACACCCCAATTTCTGGGCTATGTCTAGCTAGACCTGGGAACAAACCGCTTTGATTCTCCTGAGCAAAATGGTAGTGTTTTCCTATGATCTTTTTGGGGATGACTATTTTTATTGAGCTCTAATTGACATATAACATCGTGTAGGTTTAAGGTGTGTACAATGTGACGATTCGATTCGATGGCCTTCTGTATTGCAATAAGATCACCACTGTGGCGTTAGCTAACACCTCTATCGTGTCACGTAATTATCATTTCTTTTTTGTGGTGAGAACATTTAAGGTCCGTGATCATTTTTAAAAAAATTTTTTTTTTAACGTTTATTTATTTTTGAGACAGAGAGAGACAGAGCATGAATGGGGGAGGGTCAGAGAGAGGGAGACACAGAATCTGAAACAGGCTCCGGGCTCCGAGTGGTCAGCACAGAGCCCGACGCGGGGCTTGAACTCACGGACCACGAGATCATGACCTGAACCGAAGTCGGCCGCTTAACCGACTGAGCCACCCAGGCGCCCCGTGATCATTTTTAAAGTACTGCCATGGACACCTTGGTTTTTGTCTCATACCTTCTTGACCTTCTCCGAAATGGTAGATGTGTAACGCCGGAGCTTGAAGGACATTTTAGGATGACTTATGTGCATGGTTTCCCACCTAAAGAGGTGGTGCCCAGGGTGCAATGGCCCCTGGAGAGACCTCAAGGTCTCTCTGCTTTGATCAGAACTGAATTTTTTTTTTTTTATCTGTTACAAGAAGTTGCTTGAAAAACAAATTTGACTATAAAATTTGAAAATCACTGACCTGGGATGCCTGGGTGGCTCAGTCAGTTCAGCGTCCAACTTCAGCTCAGGTCATGATGTCACAGCTTGTGAGTTCGAGCCCCGCGTCAGCCTCTATGCTAACAGCTCAGAGCCTGGAGCCTGCTTCGGATCCTGTGTCTCCCTCTCTCTCTGTGTTTCTCTCTCTCAGTGTCTCTCCCTTTCTTTCTACCCCTCCCCTGCTCATGCTCTCTCTCTCTCTGTCTCAAAAATAAATAAACATTAAAAAAATAAAAAAAAAACCCACCGATCTTACTAATATTGACAGTAGCTATTGGGTGCTTAATTTGTTTCAGGCACTGTGCTAGGCCCTCCTTGTCTTGACTGATTGAATGCTTGGATCGAGCTCTGAGGTCTGTACAGCACTGCTCTCTTGTCTTGTAGGCATATACTGTGAGTCACAAATGTAATTTAAAAATTTCTGGTAGCCCCATTAAAAAAAGTGAAAAGAAACAGTATTACACCATTCATAATGATATATTTTATTTAACCAGATATATCTAAAATATAATTTCTACATGTAATCAATATACGTCTCAACAGAATGTTTCCTATCCTCATGTGTATTTCGCACAGCACATCTCAGTTCAGAACAGCCACACTTTAATTTATTTCCTTATTTTTAATGTTTATTCCTCTTTGAGGGACAGAGAGAGAGCATGAGCAGGGGAGGGGCAGAGAGAGAGGGAGACACAGAATCTGAAACAGGCATCAGCCTCTGAGCTGTCAGCACAGAGCCTGATGCGGGGCTTGAACTCACAGACCACGAGATCACGACCTGAGCTGAAGTTAGAAGCTTAACCGACTGAGCCACCCAGGCGCCCTCAGGACAGCCACATTTGAAGGGAATGCTTACATACATGTGGCTAGTGGCTACTGCACTGAGCAGAGCAGGGCTAGGAGAGGTTCTGTCACCAGATCACCACAGTAAGTTTAGTTATTGCCTCACAGAGGTTCTACTTTCTTAGCAACTGTCACATGTACAAAACAGTGTTATCGGTTCTAGTGTCCATGATATACATCGCATCCGCAGGACGTACTTATCTTATAACTGGAAGTTTGTACCTTTGACCACCTTCACACATTTCTTCTATCTTTGGCAACCACCGATCTGTTCTCTGTTTCTTTTCTTTCTTTTCTTTTTTTTTAGGTTTTACATAGAAGTGAGATCATATGGTTTTTGTCTTTCTCTGTCTGGCTTATTTCACTTAGCACAATGCCCTGGAGTTCCATTCATGTTGTTGCAAGTGGCATGATTTCCTTCTCTCCTATGGCTGAGTGATATTCCAGTGTGTGTGTGTGTGTGTGTGTGTGTGTGTGTGTATGCACACACACCACCTCTTCTTTATCCATTCATCTGTCAGTGGACACTACGTTATTTCATGTCTTGGCTATTGTGAATAATGCTGCAGTGAGGATGGGGGTGACATGGTTGGATCAAATGATAATTCTATTATTAATTTTTTGAGGCCCTCCCCCATGCTGTTTTCCACATTGGCTGCACCATTTTGCATTCCCACCAACAGTGCTCAAGTGTTCCCTTTCCTCCACATCCTCACCAACATTTGTAATCGCTTATCTTTTTGATGATGGCCAAGCTAACAGGTGTAAGGTGATATCTCGTGCTTTTGATTTGCATTTCTCTGGTGATGAGTGATGTTGCACACCTTTCACATACCTGTTGGTCATTTGTATGTCTTCTTTGGACAAATGGTCAGTTCTTCCATCTGTTTTTTAATCGGATTTTTTTTTTGGCTACTGAATTTGTATGAGTTCTTTATGTGTGTTGGATATTAGTCCCTTTTCAGATATATGATTTACAAATATTCCTTCCCATTTTGTATGTTGCCTTTTCATTTTGTGGATGATTTCCTTTGCTATTCAGTGTACTTCTTTTTGTTTAATTAGTTAATTTATTAGTTCAGAGAGAGAGAGAGTGTGTGTGCACACAGAGGAGAGGGACAAAGGGATGAAGAGAGAGGACCCCACCACTACAACATGGCAGCAGGAGGCAAATGTCTAGGTTCTCCAGGAGCCTCACTGAAGGCTCAGAAACCCCTGGCCTAATACACTGACTTTTTCACGCTCTCCTTGTTTTTCTTACTCATGCAGCAATTCTGTGCACATGGGCTGAGACCAACAAACCCTGGGCTTCTGTGATAACACAGTAAACCCCAACACTGGAGCTTCCCAGAGTTACTGATTGTGTAAAGAACACTTTGGGGGGTGGGAAGGATGTTCTACTTAAAGCAACAGCCTTTGAGTCCATTTTCACCTCTGAACTCC